TTATCAAATCGCAAATCTAAAAAATCACTATAATATGGACTTTTTAGCAAATATTATAATTTTTGTTTCTTACTAAAATTTTATTTAAATAATATTTTTAAACATAATAAACATTATAATTTTATTACAATAGATATAAAGTAGCTATATTTTTGAAATTCCATTTGAAATTTATATAAAAAAATCTATTTTGTTTAATTTATTAAAAAATATTAGCATTTTACATGTAAAATTTATTGATCATCTAATTTTTGATTTATATGTTATACAAGCTTATAATTTTACATGTGATCAACATTGGTATTATACTTGAATTTTGGAAAATTTTAATGGGTGTTATTAATTAAATTTAAGAATTATAAGGGGTCAGATACTTATAACCGCTATTGTAAAATAATAAAAAGAATAAAAATATTAATTTTTTTTGTGAAATATTTTATTTTAAATTATAGCAGTTTTAGAATTAGTATGATCAGGTAATTTATTGATCATTTATAATAAAAAATCAAAATACCAAAAATACTGAAAACATTAAAAATATTAAAAAACTTATGCATTTTATATTTCACTAACCTTAATTTAGTAATAAATAAATAAAAATGCATGTTCATAAAAAAAGTTAAAAATCATTTGCATTTTAAACATTTTTTCAATGATAAATACTAGTAAATATCTTTTAGATATTTGTTATATCTGTCAAAAATGCTTATATTATTTCAAACCTTTACAAAAATGTTCATGCAGATGTAATAAAAATAAGAAACTACCAAAAATTAGTAATCTAAAGTCTAAACATAAATTTATTATTGTGCTTTTATTCTAAGCAAACCTTTACTTTAGCTGAGTTATTTTTACTTGCTGCTAATAATAGGTTTAATTATAATAATGATTTTGAAAAGGCATTTACTTATATTTTTTATGATACTTATAATAATAAATTTTAACGATTAAAAAGCAAAAACAAGAAAATTCAAATAAATAAGAATAATGATAAATTAGATTCTTCAAAAAGATCAAATATTAAAAATAATTTATTTTCAGAAGAAAATACTGTTACAGGGAGTAGTATTAAAGAAGAAGATAGTATTGATGGTGATAATACTAATAGTAATAGCATTTATGAAGATAATATTAATAGAGAAAAAGATTATATTAAAGAAAACAAAAATAATATTAAAGAAGTTAAAGATAATATTAAAGATGATAAAGGTAATATTGAAGATAATGAAGATAATATTGATGATTATGAAGATAATGTTGATGATGATGAAGATAGTGTTGAAGAAGATACTATTAAAGAAGTAAAAATATAACTAATTATTCTAAATAAGAATATAAAAATATCTACAGCAAAATCTTTGACTATTCAATCTGCTAATTATGAAAATTTTGTAGAAAAAATAAGTCTAACAGTTCAAAAAATTTTGGAAAAGAAAATTGCATCAAAAGATTATATTGTATCATATAAGGCAATAAATACGCATAGACTTTTAAATGAAATTAAAGATGAATTAAATTTTTAAGAATTTATTAACAAATATGAAAAGGTAATTTTAGCTAACAAAAAAATGGTAATGATAATAAGTGTAAAAGATAATATAATGAAGTAAAAAAATTTAGTTAATAAATATTAAGAGGTAATTTTTTTTTATTATTATAAAATATAATAAATGAGATTTTAATATTTAAATTTTTTTTAAAATTCTAATGATGATGAATTATCTGTTGAAGAAATAAAGTCTAAAAGAAAAAAATCTTATGCTTTAAGAGAAGAGGATTTATCAAAAGAAAAAAAAAAGGATCTGAAGTTATTATCACTTTATATAAAAAATATAAGTGCAATATATATATAATACTATATTTTATTTAAGATAATTAACATTTACAACTCATTCCTATTAGATTCTAACTTTGGGCTCGCAAAATAGTATATTTATTATTTTTAAATATTTATTTTTATAAATTCAAATAAAAAAAATTTTAACTCTTAATTATATTTAGATTAATAATATTACTACCTATGAAGTTCCTTCATCTTTCTAACGTTTGATATGAAATTAAGTGTATCTGCTAATAAAAATAATTCTTAAGTACAAACATCTTCTACATCTACTATTACGTCTATTAAACAAGCAGCATAATAATTTTAAAATATACTTGATCAAATATAATAAATATAATATTACTTTTTGGTATTTGAAAATTATTTTTATTTTATTTCAAAAATACAATAAATTTCTAAAAATTTTAAAAAAAATTTAAAAAAAATTTTTTAAACATAAATTGACTCTTCAAAATATAATCTTACCATTTGAGGAGTTATTTGACTACATGCAATTAATAATATATATATAGGATCATTATATATTTCTATAAAAATATGATTATATTTAATCCATGATTTAATAGTTAAAAATGCAATTTTAATAGAATTATAATCAGGAGAATAAGGTGAAAGAAAAATAACACAACATCTTAAATCTTCTATTAACACTATTAATTCATTATTATGATGAATTCTAGTATTATCTATTATAATAATGCTATTATCTCCTAGATATGAATTCATTATTAGTACCTAAAAAAATAATGATAAATTTATTTATTATAATTATAATATAAAAAAGGTAAATAAAATAAATTTATAAAATATTTTTTACCACTTGATCAAGAACAAAATCAGCAAATTTTTTTCGATCACATGATCCTTCAAATATGTTAACAGCAACAAATTCTTCTAATGTAAATGCAGGTAAAATTGTATACCATTTTCCTCATATAAAAACTACCTTTTTGAGAGTGTGTATTTCTAGGTGAATATCTATATAGTCATGTTAAAGCTCTATCATCTTTAGCATTTTCATCAAGAAAAATAAGTTGATTTCACATATAATGTTCCCTAATTGTAGCTAAATTATGAGTATGTACAATCTCATTTCTTTCTAATGCTGCTTTTTGTAACTTTATAAATAAAAAATATATTAGTTATATTTTGTATCAAGTATTTATGATATACCAATAGATAAAATGATTTACCTTTTTTCTAGTAATTCCTAAATATTGAAGTGATCACCAAAGTGTTGCAATAGATGCTTTCTTTTCAGTTAAACATTCCATTTCATATACTAATTCATCCAAATACCAGTCTACTTTTTCTATTATAAGATTTCTAAGTACAGTCATGTCTTGTCTATTAAAAAGCTTTCTATAATCAGAAACGCCTTTAAAAGGATTTTTAACACATGCCTAACGATTATATCATTTCTTGATCTTATTTATAACACCCTTACTTATATATAACAAACTGGAAATATCTTCAGTAGAAAAGCCATCGTAATACAGATCGGAAAATATTTATATTGTTATATATACATGTGACCTTTTTTATTTGAGATTACGAAATCGGAATTTTGTTATCTTTATTTAAATAGTAATAAATCGCCGATCACACTAATTTGAAAACGGCAATAAATCATACAAAACTTTAAATTTGATATTTTAAATTAATTTAATGAATCAACTTAAATTAAAATCGTTAAATTTTTAATTTAACTTGACTTATTATTTAATTAAAATATTTATTATAAGATTTGATTAAATTATTTTTGATATTATTAGATTAAAATGTAATAAAATCTTAATTTAGTTAGAAAAGATTCCTAGAACCTGCTTTTCTTAACATATATGTTATTATAGAAATGATTATAATTTTTTAATATTCATAAAAACATAATAGGCTTGCTTGAATTACTCAATTTTTATTTTATACTATATATAATAGCATTCTAAAATATGAAAATATGAAAATATGAATAAAATCACATGATCAATTTCATCAATAATAATTTTTCAAGATTTGTTGGAACGTTAATTTTTAACTGGAGAAAATAAATGTTTCTTTATCCGTTTAACATGATAACCGAATTAACCAATTAATTAACCGGCCGAAATATATTCGGCCAGGATTAAGATTTTATGATTAAAAAAATATTTGCAAATTCTGAACAAATTTATATACTGGCTAAGTTAAACTTAACCGGTTAAATTAACCGGTTGAATATTTTGTCCTATCGGTGACCAGTGGGTTAATAGTGTCAATAAAATTGAGATGTATTTCAAAATGCAAAGTTTACTCTTAACACTGTTTCTTGTGAATTACAAAAATTGGTAATTTTTACGACCAAGATTTCAGTTATGACTTCCATCTCTTTTAACAAATATGAGAATTAAAAATTTTATTCTCAATAGCGTCCCTTGCGAATCAGAATATGGTTTGCCAAATTTTACTTTAGAAGAATCGTTTATAATTCAAGATTGCAACGAGAATAACTATCCATTTCTATCTCTTTTAATAAAAATGAGAATGGAAACTTTATTCATAATAATGTTCCTTGCAAACAAAATATTCTTTGTTAAATTTTATCTTGAGAGAATCAACGATGATAAACTTTCTATTTCTTGTAATGAATATTTACTTTATGATGTTCCCTATGAATTAGAAGATTCACTTTAAAATAAGCCTGGCGGAAAATGAGGAAATTAAACAATTTTATTACACTCGAACATTTGTTACAAAATCGATATGATGCCATATTATTATTTTTTTTATTAATTTAATTATGCTTTGAACTTAAGTTTTATTTATACGAATTATGGTTATGTAATGATAAATTTAACTTTTTTTTTTGTCGTGGTAACATGATAAAGAAATTATAAAACGCAGATGACTTATTTAATAAATTTATTACCCCATTAAATGTCTCGATTAAATTTTACTATGTTAGGATTCATCATATTTGTTCTTAAAAGAATAAATTAAATACACAAAATATGGGTTGATTGCTAGGAAAATCAGGTTCGGGAATTTTTTAACAAAATTAGATTTTTATTGCATTTTAGTTTTTGATGTTATTAGATTAAATGTCTAAGCTCTTAAATTTAGTCAAAAATTTCTCGGAACCTGATTTTCTTCCCATATCAAAAAAAAATGAAAAAAAATCTTTTTCGGTACAAACATAATTAAATGAAATGTTTGACTGAAATGGAAAAAAAAAAGACATACAATTTAAATACGAAAATTTAATGGTACATTTGTCCTTAAATATTTTACTTTTGAATTAATGTTGGACAGCGAAAATGACTGGACAGGAATTTGTAAAATGCAATGCGAAAATTGATAAAATAAAGGATCGGTTTCAAGCAGTATTTTCTTTGATGACAAAAATGTTAACATTATTTAAAATTATTGCAGTGCTTCAAGGCATCTTAACTTTGGAATGTTTATTAATTATTTAACTAGTTTTGTTTCAACAAACATCTATTATATTTTCTCATCTAATTGCTCGGAATGCAATAATAAAGTATTACAGTCAACTCTCTTTATAGTCACGCTCGTCATAGTCACAATAACCTAATATAGTAAATCATGATCCGTAATGTGATATTAAAAAGAAAATTCTCTCATATAATCAAACTAGTCAACTGTCCCACTTAAAATCTACCTTATATACTAACGATCTATCTAAGTCGCTACCACACCTTTTATTTTCAAATAAAAACATTAATCGGAATGAGATTGAAGCTAATAAATCATCGTCATTACAATCTTACTTAGGCACAGAAAATAATTAATTCGGAGTGAGAATATTGAACGTGAATCAATATATTGAGCGTAAAACTCCGTGTATCCCAAAAAAAGTGTGACTATAGAAATGTGACTATAGAATAAATTAACAAATAATTAAAGTTAAAGAAAATCAATTAAACCTTATATTTTCTATGACTTTTATAGCATAAAATGTATTAATAGAAAATAACTTACTTAGAATTCCGATTTATATTTTTCATTTCATTGTTTTTCTTTTTAAAAAAAGAAATTCATTTGACCGTATAATAACTAGTATATGTGGTAGATAAATGACTACCCAGTGATGGCAAATGACCAGGTCATTTGGCCATTTTGTATAGCAAACAAATCATGCATTTTTTTGAGGTTTGCTTTCCGATTTTGTATTTTTCAATTTAACCTTGATTATGTCCAATAATTATTTCAATGCATTTGCCATCTTTGATTAACTATAAAAAAATGGCTAAAAATAAATGACAATCGGTACATGCAATGACATTAATGACATTTCACTAATACAACTGTGTGCAGCTGGTGACTTGATGTTTCAAGGATTCGCCTGCTTGCTTTAGCAGACTTTTTCTCTTATACGGTCAACAAAATTCAAAACGTAACGAAAATTATTCTTCAGAATAAAAGTTATGAATGATTTTCGGGGCAACAAATAATAAAATAATGACTATTTTTAGGGTTGCAAAACTTTTGATGGTCAAACTTTATGAGATCAATTTCTCGGATATTTCCGTCATATAATTTAGATTTTAGATTGATAATCTATTTTTTTCACTCGCGGATAAACTAAATAATCGGTCTAATTTAGGAAAGGTGTAATCTTTATGATTATACTAGTTATAAGAATTTAAACTAAATATAAGTTTTTTTTATAGGGATACAATGTTTTGTGATGCAAAATCAATAATCTGATTAATTAAAATTCTAATTTATTTTAACATCTTAAAGCACTCAGAATTTTGATTAAGCAAAAACGCAAAAAATAAAAAAAAAAGTCAAACAGTTTTTTTTAAAAGTGCGTCAAGACTAGAATATTTTATTGACAATTGATTTTCAAATATTTAACCGGCGTCCTTAACGTAAGGTGTAAGGTAGGGATTTAGACCTTATCGTAAACAGGGTATATGATTAAGATTTGTATATTGGAATATTACACAAACCTGTATAGTATAGTTTCGAATGTATGTATAATGTAAGGAGGTGTTATGAAAGGAGTAGAGTATGGTGGAGTTGATGAGTAGATTTGAGTATATTTTTTCATACTCAACCTGCTCTAAATAACCCTAACCTACTAGCATTAATACTAACTCCTAACAATTTTTCCGTATCACCCAACATGACCATACTATACATACATTCAAAACCATACTATACAGCTTTGCTATATAACCAAAAATTTTCACGGTTTTCAAAAATAAAGCAGCGCGAAAGAAATATTATCTTGCAAGAATAAAAGAGCGAAAAGAGTTTATCTAAAAATATTTCTCGTGATTTTATTTCATTTTATAAGTTTATTATCTTTATTGGTGAATTATTTATTATTTTAAAATTTGTGTTTGTTTAATGAAAAAACATATTTTCTCCAAAATTGAGCCAGACAGCCTAATACTATACAAATTATACAAAAACTATATTTGGGTCGATTGCTAGGAAAATCAGGTTCCGGGAATTTTTTAACAAAATTGAAATTTTTATTGCATTTTAGTTTTTGATG